GTGTTGCATATTTGAGTCCCTTTCAGTGGAGGCTTCACAGGAAACCATTACAGAATTTAACAATAACGAGGACAACAACAACAACAAAAATCACAGTAACTAAGAGAAAAAGTTGATAAAATAAAATACATTGATCTCTTTAAAGTAAAGCTCATTCACATAGATGATATTCCCCCCAGCCCTTGTTTTGTGTTCCTGCAAATTTTTCCTAGAGTCTAGGCTGTAAGAACAAAAATAAAAACAAAACCACACACAAAATATGCAGGCCTGTATATGGTCTGGGCTAAGGGAAAAACAAAGAGTTGGTTATATTTGCTATCATTAGAAAAGACATTTACTCATGCTCTGGAAGATTTAAAAATTATCAATTTCGTTCTACAGTATATTCTGCTCAACAGTGAACCGACAGTATCCTTTCTGCTGTTAAGAAAAAACAAAAAAACAAAAACACCTAAACTAAAAAAAAAAAACAAAAAAACAAAAAAACCACAACTGCCAAGGCAGAGCCAATTGGTTGGGAGGCTTTTTCCACTGACCAAAAAATTAACTTGTCTCCATATACTGTATTTACAAATATAATTTCTAAATGTATTTACAGCTTTAGTAGAAATTAGAGGGTAGAGAACTGATTAGAATGAAAATAACTGTTTAAAACCACAAACATTAGTAAAAGTATAAAATTCTTTGTCTTCACAGTTTGTAATAACGGGCTAAGTATCTCTAGAAAAGGACGCTGTCACTGTCTTCACATTGTCTAATAGTGAAAAGGTAGCTCAAGAAGAGACTCAATTATGAACAAGCCTATATGAATTCAGGATATATTTTACCGTAAAAGATTTCTTCACATATCACTTTATCTTAATTGATTTCTGCATCTGTTATAAATGAAACACCTAACCTAAAACTGTACAGAAATAGGGACTTTGCTTTCCAAAAAGAGTTGCTCTAAGGAGTTACACAGCGTACTTCGTCTGCGGAGACGTGAAGTGAACTTCAGGGAGAGAATGTTTCGGTTCTGTGGTCATGTTAATCCTCCTGACACATCCTCATGCGGCAAGGCACAATTAATTGCTGCTGCCCGATCTGAATGGAGTTAATCTCTCACCAGTCATGCCCCTGGGAAGCATGACAGTGCGAACACTCAGAGAGGCTACACAGCTCCGTGCTGGCCTAGGCGCCGCCTCCCTCGAAGCCCTGCGGAACTTTACAGTACTGTGTTATGGCTTGAGAATTCATTCTTAACACTGCGAGCAGTGGAAAGGGTAAAGTGTTAGCAACACGAATGGGAGCAAGTGGAACTTGCAAAATGTGGAATCATGATTCTTAGAGAGAAACTCAATCAATTTTCTGCCCCTTAACAGTCCCATTACAATGTTTGAACCTGAACTGTACAATCAAAGCAATGGATATTTTTGTCAAAGACAATTTTGGATAAGTCACTCTTTGGTAAACTCAAACCAGTTAAACAGATTCACAAATACAAAGAACTCCATGTAAATAAGGTTAAGACGGACAATGCCAAGAGCCAGGACGCTGGAGGTGCCCGCACCAGGTGCCCTCCCTCCTCACTGTCTCTCATACCACGGAATGCTCTGGAGACCTCGCTGAAGGCCCCAAGCCTGAGTGAAAAGGAGGTTCCTTCCCTGAGCTTGACCTCTTATGTCCTTGGATTTGGGCATTTCTTGTCACAAACTTAATTTGTATCACAACACAAATTTTTTGCATTCAATTAAAAAAAAAAATCAAAACCAAACTTATTCATGTAAGGAAAAAAAAAATCACAAACATTTACCTGAAACCCCAGAACATATTTAAGTGGGTAAACACTTGGGGTCCAGCCTCCCCTTGAGGCACGCGGCTTTAACAGGAGTTGAACAAGTGCTTCAGGGAGAGAACAAACCCCTACTTAGGCAGTTTGACGAGGAAAAAGGCATACTATATACCCGATTTAGCAAAGGCCGCTCCTCGGGAGCAGCGGGATTAGAGTGTAATCTGTAGGGAGTTAACACTGATGTGTAGCGCAGCAGTTCACACGTGAACAGATCCTGTGTGCTAAAGAGATGCGACTGCACAACTGCCACCCCTGGGGGCTATTACACACAAAGGGCTTGAATGACTTTTTTTTCTCAAAACAAAAAACAAAAACAAAATAACAATCCACCATTGGTATTTTAAGAGCCAAAAAAGCACAGAAAACCAGCAAACATCAAATTCTGTATTCCTTTAACTTCTAGCCTCTGAGGCTGGTCCTTTGTTCGTTTTTCTTTTAGGTGGCTACACTGTTCTCCTACGGAGGTGCACTGGTTGTGCATCTCAGACCCCAGGTTCTCAGCCAGATACCAGAACGCTGACATCCCACAGGCAGCCTGCAGCACAAACTCACCACCAAACCGCCTATAAAATTACTCTCTGCCAGAGTTTACAGTACCGAAGCAATCTTGTAAAGCCTGTTTGTGTACGTGAACACAATACAGAACTGAAGACATTTCCGAAAGTACTAATAAAACATTATTCAAATAGGACTCAGGTATCTTTTCATACAGTAATGTGTTTGCTAGCACATGCTTTTGAGGTCTCTTTCAAGCTACGAACTCAAGAGAGGAAAACAATTATAATTCATTATTACCATTAGATTTCACATTTTCTACAACTATACTGACCTAAAAAGACACTTAACAAAAATAGCACCACATGACAAAAAATGGTGACACACAGATTTGGTGACACACAGAATATCTTAGAGGGCTTTTAAACTGTTGGTTCTTTAAGCAGGAAACACTGAGAGAGTGGGGGAGCCACTGAGGCTCTCATTAGCACACACAATACTAAGATAGATATATTGCTTGCAATTCCCATAGAGTATAGCTTTACAAAAAGTACAAATTCTAAGTTCTGCAGTTTCCCTGGGAACTGCATGTAGAAAAAGTTGCTGTGCACCTGAACTGGCTGTTTGAAAAGAGAAAGAAAAAAAAGAAAAAACAAAAAAAACACAACACTGCTTGGAGAATTTTGTAGAGAGAACTACAAATCCCTTTCCTTAAGTGCGAGTGAGTACTAACTCATGATAGAGAGTGATTCGATTTAGTTACCTGGTATGTATGTTTCTACAGTACGGAATGAAGGTAGATTTGTAGGCCAGTAAAAACCTTGAAAACCACTGCTCCTTTGGGGTTGGCTAATATAACACTACACTATGTAAAAAGGTCAGCACCACAGGTCATCCAGCTTACCTGCTGGACAACTAACAAAAATTCCAAACGGTTTCCAACTAGAGTTGAAGAAATTTTATGGCATTTGGTTTATGTATTTGTTATGAAGCAGAGCTGTGAACACTGTGATTTGCTTTGCTTGCTTTTGGACACAATGATTAATATAAACCTACTAACATTCTTTTGTAAGGGAAATGAAGGGGCAAAACCCTAACATATTAGGTAGGGATGAGACAGACTCAGAAGCCCTGTTCACAT